CCCCCCCCCGTGTCCTTCACCAGGGAATTTTACTCTGCGCTCTAACCTTTCGTTGTCAGGGACGCAGAGAAAGTTCAAGAGGTCTTGTAACCCTGGTGCTTATATTCCATGTACACTATTTGGTTTACTCTTGAAGAACAAACTAGCTATGATCGCCCAACCTCTGCTTCAAATTTGTTTGATTGGATGGCTGAGTTAAATACATGGTTCACCTAATGCATAGCCATGGAGCGATGCGGCAGAAAATAGAATTAAAAACTGTGAATTCTCGCCATTTCTCTTCCAGTGGTGAGAGGTATAATTATAGAGTATGGATAATTCTTCTTCTAGTGAGAGCATGTTCACTGAATATTCCAGCGAATTGCTTCTGTAAAAGGAAATGGGCACCGTACAACAAAGGCAAATGGAACGCACCTGAAGGAGGATGCTACCTTCCCGTGAGGATTTCTTCGACTCAGGTCCGCTTTCTCGATATGATTCGATCTTAGTTGCTACATCTCAGTAACACTAATTACACAGTTGCAAAGGATGCATAGGCAACTCAAACACATACACAAAATGCTTGGCTCAATATTCAGAATAATTATTTTCTCTAAATAAACCTAGTCGATGTCCCCCATATAAGATGCCCCTATGTGCGCCTATTGTGGGTTAGAGCGGGACAAATGGGAGCCCAAAAATGTGAAGTCACAATCTGCCTCCTAAAATTGCTGTACGAATCTGTTTGGAAGGGCGATTCAGTTACCAGCTCAGGTCCAGCCATCGCACCGCGCTGGGAGCCATCAGCATTATGCAGAAGTCATCGATCATTTACATTCGCGAAGGTCTTACCCGTGCAGAAGCCCGAATGTCTCCGTAAATTTGCTGCCAGGGCCCATCTTTGCTGCTGTGGAGCAGATTTTTTCATACTACATTAGTCATAACTAGTAGTGTGTGCATCATTTGAATAACTGCTCAAAATATTCTCGTCTAACTTTAATTTTATCTTTTTTTGCAGCCCTATATTCAGTTAAAACTAATNAAGATGCCCCTATGTGCGCCTATTGTGGGTTAGAGCGGGACAAATGGGAGATATGCGAGCCCAAAAATGTGAAGTCACAATATGCCTCCTAAAATTGCTGTACGAATCTGTTTGGAAGGGCGATTCAGTTACCAGCTCAGGTCCAGCCATCGCACCGCGCTGGGAGCCATCAGCATTATGCAGAAGTCATCGATCATTTACATTCGCGAAGGTCTTACCCGTGCAGAAGCCCGAATGTCTCCGTAAATTTGCTGCCAGGGCCCATCTTTGCTGCTGTGGAGCAGATTTTTTCGTACTACATTAGTCATAACTAGTAGTGAGTGCATCATTTGAATAACTGCTCAAAATATTCTCGTCTAACCTTAATTTTATCTTTTTTTGCAGCCCTATATTCAGTTAAAACTAATTTTCGATGAGACATGATATTACAGATGTTAGCCACTAGGGTCTGTGAACGAAAGCGTGATGGTATACTCGCTGTCGATAAGGACATCAAGAAGCACGCCTTTCTGAAAAAGTGTAAGCATTTCTTCTTTGTCACACTTCCCATTAGCTGTCTGATGAGGTGCGGCAGGGCCAGAAATTGATAGTGTTGTTTCTATCACAAACGAAATGGAAGTAAACAACATATTAAAACATAAAAGAGTGTGATATACGCTTGATAATCTGTGACATCAAAGGCTACTTCCGTCGTTCCATTGCGGATCGAAGTGGGTAGGAAGCGCCGGTAGGTAAGGCGCGATACTCAATAGCAAGTGCATGCGAACGAACAAAGATGAGAAGAAGCGCTTCCTATGGCAAAACATATTACACTATTTCAGTTCACGCTTTTGAAAATTCTACGGTCAAATCAGCTTAGCCTCAGCTTCCCAATAGCGAATGAATTGGCGTGCATAGATATGAATGAAATTGGAGGCAGATGGTATGCATTAAGGTCATTCCACTGCGATCTTTGTGGACACACCACTCCGGCTTGGAAGCGAATAGAACTCCGGATTTTAACCCGTTCTCTTGCGGGTCCTTGTGTCATTTTTGAATTCATACAGCTGAGGTCACACTTAGCAGCATGGCTGGACCTTACTGCGACTAGTGTTTTGACATGATATGCTCTGTTAAATAATTATCGTGCAAACCTCGAATCCAAACCAGCCCTAGATCAAGTTCCTGCTGCACTAGTGTACTAAAAACCTAGGATTCGCTATAGAATTCACTACGAAAGACACCCGCAGTTGAGAGTCAGGAGAGTCCTAAACACTCCAACCCAACTTCCCAACCCTATGGAAAAAAAGCTTCTCATGTCCGACGGCCAAGAACCATACAAAAATCCATATTGCACACGAAATCGTTTTGCAAGATATCTGATGATGTAGCAAATGCATTGAAATGACTGATTTCCATTTACTTCAGTGGTTCCGCCGAAAACAAACTTCTGGCTAGGACTGCAACGGAAAGGCAACCAATGGATGTGGCCTGACGGTAATCCAGTAAGTTACAGAGCATTTCTTCTGTCAAGAAGCAAAAGAGAAGATATTGGTATAGTTTTTTAAAATGAGTTTATAGTGTGCAGCATCTCGAAAAATCGCGAAAACCTTGAGTTCCACAGCGAAGAGATATTTCGGGGGTACCACTCGGCGAGTAAAAAACGCTAGTCCTTTTTTACACTACATAGTGCCCATGCCTGAAGCGATTCAGTGATGTAGAGTATTTTAACCGAACCATCGAGCGGTGAACAGATAAATGCAGAAGCATAATGATGACGAGTTACACAGGCTTCTGTTGTAATGAGAGGCATAGTTCACAGCAGACCTGACTTTTTGAAATTTCTCTTATGGTTAGGATGACCCTGCGTTCCTCGAGGATAGCACGTAGGAAATTGCCGGAACGAAAAGCGACCTAAACAGGGCATAACAAGGGTCCTTAATCGTCTAAGAATCTAAATGTGACATTGATATGAAGGCCTTGTAGAAGCTGCACTATTCACAATGAAGCACACACGTTGAAATTCAAACAACTAGTCATGACCCATGGCAATAGTAGAGACAACTTTTAGCTTTTCCGCATTCCGTAGCGAAGTGCTCACTACTGACAGTTTGCTCAATTAAGCACTTCATGTAAGTTCCGTCGTTACAACTTCGCATAGCCCTTTAATTTCACTGCTTGCATCATTTGCATTTAAAGGCACAGTTCACGATAAATATGGGTAATCCAGATTATGATGAAAATGGAAGACAAGATCGAAACTAGTGCGACTGAGGTGAAGAAACTGTGTGCATCGGTGTTTCCAAAGTGAAAAAAGGCATCGAAAAACCGTTAAAAATGGGGCTGGACGAGAAAGAAACCAGAAAAATGAAGAAGAGTGGGGCGTTCGGACGAGCTAAACAGTGTGTTTCACTGCGCGCGTGTGGGTCCTGGTGCGAATAACAGACAATGGTAAGCAAAAATTCATTCACTTATAAGCATAAATAAACTAAAAAACCCTAGTAACAGCAAAAGTAGCTCACCTTTTTCAGCCTCTAGGAGAAGGAAATAAAATAAGGGATTGCGGCAGTAAAAAGAACAACAGAAAAAAAAAGTATGGGAGAAGAACATCGCCTCATCACTCGGCAATTAGCTGACTGTGCGTGGGTTCTAGAACGAATAATAGCACTCTGTATTGTCTCGACACTCGTATAACGTGACACTGATCGAGGGGCGGGAAAGCGAACTGGCACAATGAGGCTTCCACTATGCCCTAAGCGCCGAGATTGTGGAAGCGAGAGGGTCCCTTCTACCATTCGGTGAGTATTCCTAAAGGAAGAACTCAACAAACCTTTTTATCGTGAACCGTACCTTTAACAGTGTAAGTCAAAAAGAAGGCAAACGATCATCAAACAAACCTATTCATCGCGTGGCGAACGGACATAAATGCAGAGATATCCCTTTATATTGCTCTTTCAAATAAGCAAAATCGAGCAGCATAATCTATTCATATATGTTGATGTTATTTAGACGTTAAAATGATTTGATGGGCGAGAGGAGTTGTAAGTGGGACATCTCTGCACTTATGTCCGTTTGCCACGCGGTAGTCGCTGTGAAATATGTCCATGGGTGGCTTGTGGAGGTACATGGTTGCAAACGCTGAGTCGCCAATTAATCCAATTGGGTGATGAGCTGCAGAACCACATCAACTTGCAAACTACGATCCCTATTAAGGTTGGCAGTTTCACAAAATGGGCGAAAGGCCATCCAATTAGTGGCACGGGCGATTGCGTCTACATGCAGAAGAACGCCAACAAGTAAGTTCGATCCAAAATTTTCGTACTATTTCGAAATATCTGCGATGAATAGCATCACTCTTCCACGAACTACCTGCGAAGAATGACATAGAATGATGCTACATAACACATCTTGTTGCTGGCACCTCCACGCAGAAAGAGGAAGAATGAAGATGAAAAGTATTCGCGGCTAAGAGGGATAGATGAAACCCTATGGAACAGCACGAAGCTGGTGAAAAAGGAACTGAAGCAGCATGAAAGGGAAAGTTATTATAATATGGACTGTGGCTACGCATGATGATTGGGACAAAATGTACACTACGGCGTTATCGAACGCTTGAATTGTGGGGATCAGTGGCTCTGAAAATTAATAGAAACGGCGCGGTAGCCCGTACTAGACCGATGGTAAGTTCGAACAGTTGGAAACTGTGGGGGTGAATGTAACCCTGAATTTGCACAACGTCAACCAAACATGAAAAATTACCAAATCGGCGAGCTAAAAGAAGTTAATAATCGTTCCTCTCCTTGTGCTTTTTCAGATATACACCTCGTTCAAACACCAGTAATCCAAAGCGATTCATTCACTTACTGCTTCAGAACTGCGTGGTTTGCGGATGACTGCGACAACGACTATTTCTCCATCTGTCAAACGAAACCATGTGACTCGACCAAATACTGCCCGTTCCAGTTGAGCAACGAGGAGCGTGAAATCTAAAAGACTCAATGTGTGCATGAAATAAATGAATTTGAATCAATTAGGAAGAAACTCGAACAATCAAAACAGTCGATAAAATGATGCTTAAAAGCCTCAAAGAAGACCATACATTCTTGAATATTGTCCCCAGCTATAATCCAGGTGAAACTTCATGAGTCCCATAACAATGATTACTCCTTCTCCCTCTTTCCTTCCAAATGCCAATCTCAACTTGCATAATGATCACAGTTGACTGCAATGATCGAACAGCTCACCCATCCCTCAAACAGCCTTCGAAATAGAACTAAATTTTCTTTTCAAACGTTATAATTCGCAGGAATTGATTACCACGCGCATGTTTAGCCGAAGTAGATAATTTGTACTCGTTCAGAGAGAAGAAACATGTAATATACACTTTTCTCAGTGTTTCATTATTAACAAATCCTCTGTTTTCAACTACTTCACTTTGCGTTTTAATTGCATCAAACATGACTTACTTTCCAAGGTCGGTAGCAAAAATGAGGTAGCAAAAATGCAGCGAATTCATTTATGGACCAACTAATCAGTGTTGCTCGAAATGTTAAAAACCTGGTCCAAGCATTGACTAACGACAACATTTAGTTGTTCAAGTCTAATGCGCATTAGTTTGGTTCACAGAGGCGGTTATTGAATAGCTTCTTTTTTGTGTGCTGCAAAAGGAAAAGGTGCTACCCATTCGCCTGTAGGTCGTCACACTGTAGCAGCAAGCAACTTCGAAGCGGGACTTGTACATCATCCATTACTTTGGAATATATTCAAAAAAACTGGTATAGAAATATTCAGTAAGCGAGTTGTATCAAGGCTCTGTTATCAACGTCACCACTTTCTTTCTTTGGCTTTTATTTCTTTGCCATGACCCTTTCTCAGCTACTGATTCATATCTTTCCTCTTTCAGTTGTCCGTAACAGGAAATAAGGCGCACAACAAGCCACGGACAGAATTTTTGTGAACGGATGTTATGAAAATAAACTAGGTTTTAGCCTAATGTTTCACGCAGTTACATCTCCTCTTCACAGCATTGGATCTCTCTCTCTATCTCTGTTAAATTTTCATTCACATGATTCTGCTCGCCTAACAAGTAGTAATAATCACTACGTAAAGCCATCAAGTTTTTAGAAACACTTTTTGCTCACAGATTAGGTCGCTGACAAGTACAAGATGAAACCTCACTCCTCAAAATGACCAGATAGCTTTTTGATTTTTAAAGCTGATTTTTACGGCATATGAAATGAGTAGGGCAATGTCGGTGTAGTGACAAAGTCAGAGAAAAATCTCAAAAAGAAACCAGCCCAGCCAACCAAGAATACCATTCGTCCATGTTCAGTTTAAATTGGCATCAGTCTCGCCTCGAAGAATCGAAGCACTAGCTTGTGCATCAGTTGGCTACTGCAAGTCATTCCATAGACCACTAGGCATGGAGACCGCACACAGTAATTTGTAAGGAACTCGAATGAAATGTACTTATCCCAGCAACGAGAACAATCAACGGCAAAGGCTGCTTTCATAGTCCGCCGCCGTGCTGGCGTGCCCGTCGAGGTAGTGCTAGGGAGGGGAGGGGAGGGGGGGGGGGGGGNGGGGGGGGGGGGGGGGGGGGGGGGGGGGGGGGGGGGGGGGACCAGACGGTCGGTCAACGCGGTCTCGTCGCGCCCAAGCCCCTTCGAAGGGTCGAAAACAAAGAAAAATCAACATTACTATATATAAAGCGCTCTGTCTGCCTGTTTGTATGGGAATTCGATATAACCTGAAGAAACACATGGAGAAGTCGGGTCAAGTTTGGAATGGGTTGAGCATGGGGTAAGTGCAACAGAGCACACGTGAGCCTAGCGGAGCTCCGCCCCCAAGGGGCGGGGCATGCGCCGGAATTGGGCGGGATCATGGACAAATTCTTCTCATTCGGTCTCATAACACTGCAGGAAAGTTTGCAAAGGTGAGGGATGGATTACCAATTAAAATAAAGGAAATCAACCGGCGGTAGGCGGTACTTTCCACAGAGGTTCATAACTAGATTCAGCAAAGGCGTCGAGGCCAGGAAAAAAAATAAAAAGAGTGAGCCCGGCATTATGCGTGCTGGGCATGCGTAAGCTTAGCGAAGCCTCGCTCACGATGGGCGGGGCGTGCGTTGAGGTGAAAGCTACTTTTCATAAATGACTGTAACTCTGTTCAGAAACGTTCTAGAAAGCGGGAAAAAGTGGTTAGGGGTAATGGGACAAATGTGGTCAAATCCCAGAAGTGGGCAGAGTTGGCGCTAAAGTGGGCGGGGCTTAGATCAAAAACTTATAGCTCTATTCAGAAACGTTGTGAGATGCGGGAAAAAGTGGTAAGATGTAGTAGAGCAAATGTTGTCAGACCGCATAAGTAGGCGGGATGAGCACGGAAGTGGGCGGGGCTTAGATCAAAAATATGTAACTCTATTAAGAAACGTTCTGGGAGGTGTTAAGGTGTAAAAGAACAAGTGTGGTCAAATCCCAGAAGTCGGTGGGGCTCAGATCAGAATTATTAGGTATCTTCAGATGCGTTTTTGAACGAGGGAAAAAAGTGTCTTAAGGTAGCAAAAGTGATGTGAATCGAAGTCTGGAGTGGGTGAGGTTTGCAAAAAAAAGGGGGGGGGGGGGG